ACGTACCCAAGGTGCGTGTACACTCGAAATGTACGTGTAGATACACGAGAGACATCTACAAGGTTTCTTCCTTTGCAACCCTATCGCGTTTCTTTGCCGCCATTAAAAGCCGTTCTGCAGCGGATGGGATGAATGGGTCTCTGAATACGTGCAGATGGGAAGATTACAACCAAATCAAAAGTTCAATCACACAAATTGATTTTTTCTCCTCTTCTTCTTTAATGACTCGAGTGAAGGTGTGAATTCATTTTGGGATCTCGAACAAAGCATACCGGCCCGTCTTCTTAGTCGCCATTAGTTGATCGAGAATTTCTACAGGTACCCAAGCGAGGTATCTACGAAATCCCCAAAATGCTCTTCCCAGGAATTTCCTAGAGATATCTTCAATTCAACTTTCTAATCGTCGGTACAATATCCAATCACGGCAATAATGCGCCAGTGGACGCAGTCCAAATAGATTTGTCCACCTTCAAAGTGTTTGTAACTCATTACAAAACACATGGATGCGTGGAATATGTACTTGGCGCGGAACTCTACCGAGTTTCTGCATATATTTACAAAGTTTCATGTTGTACGACTCTTGCGCGTCTCTTTACAGCTATTAAAAGCCATTTTGCAGCGGATGATGTGAATGAGCTTCCGGATACATATGATGGAAAGATGTCTTTTATCTCTCTTGTAAGTCAATATCTTCTACTCTGCTTCTTTAGTAATCCGGATGAGGACGTGAATCCGTCTTGTATTCCCTATCTAGCAAAATGCGCCGCGTTATATTTTAACCGAGCATTAGCTGGCTCTTTGGGAACTTTAACGGGCGCACAAGGGAGCACGTTCTCCGCAAAATTCCCATAATGCTTTCCCTAGGAGTCCCCTAGAGATATCTTCAATTAATCTTATAATTGTCGGCACTGAAGCGAGCCGCGCGTGCCGCAATCCCACCGGATGCGGTCCACGTGAACGTGTTCATAGTGAAAATGTATGCACGTCCATGAGGTGCACCTCCGTGCTCAGAATGCGTTCACGCGGTGTCCTTTTCCCTGCACCCATTTAAAGCCGCTTTGTAATGGATGGGATGAATGGGTATCCGGACACGCGGAGACGGAAAGGCACTGGCTAGATTGCAGATCGACATTCCTGGAACGTTACTATTCGTTCGCTTTCTACCTTTTCTTTTAATATCTCGCGGGTGAGAGACTTTCAAAAGATTCTGTTAACTGCATTGGAAAGCATTTAAACGTGATATATCCGCCGAGGAGATAATCCAATAATTAAGACAACCGTGACAGGGTTCACCGGCTGCAGGTATCGGCTGTACATTTCATCCGTCGACTACAAGTTTCACTCGTGAAATGCAGGTGATAGATGGTGTGTATCGAGTACCTGCAACTAAGGAACGATATAGTTAACGCAGTTACCTAAATTATACAGTCATTAGAATACACCGCTGTTGGTATTCATCTTTTTCCTCGGCTATTAAAGCTTTTACCGAGTGGATTTCCTCATTCATTGGGATGGACAGGGATCTTACAATGCAAGGGATCAATTGTTTTAGTTAACTTGGGTAAAAATGTTATTTGCTCAAAACGAGACATCTTTGAGGTAGCTACAAGGCTCAAGCAAGGACATAATCTATGAGCTGAGAATTCTGGCCGTTTATTACACATACCATCTATCAGCTTCACGATGGCGAAAGAATACCCTTGCAAATCAAAAGCCAATCACGCGAGTCCATTTTTCGCATAACCTAGATAAATCCGTAATTTCGTCGAGACCACTTATCGACAGTTAAATAATTCTGCCAACCCTAACACAATCAGCTGGAAATCCTAACTGTTCCCTGCAAATGCCGTCTACCCTGCAAATAACGTGTACTAGGTACAGCTAGTAGGGGATACGTGTAGCAATGTGCAGTACATTGCAGGTCTTTTCTAGCAACCACTAGAACCTTACTACGGTACAAACCATATAAACGAGTATCCGACTTCACAATAGTGAAAGAATACCCTTAGAAATCAAAAGCCAATCATGCGAGCCAATTCTCTGGATAGCCTAGATAAATTCATCATCTCGCCCAGACCACTTGTCGACGGTTGAATAATTGTACCAACCCTAGCTCGATCCATCAGCTAAGAATCCTGGCCACGTACCATCTACCAGCCACAAATAGTGTTCAAGAATTACAATCGATAGATGCAATACGAGGGGGTGTGCAGCGAATAAACAGTTCCTAGGGAACTGCGGCACGTTACCGGTCCACGTCTCTTCTGATAACCATTAGAGCCTCATTGGAGTGCGCCAGGTAAACGAGACTCTGAACTCACGGTGGCGAAAAAGAATTACCTTTACAAATCAAAATCCAATCACTGTAAATTTTTTTGGATAACCTGGATAAGGACGTCATTTCGCCGAGACCACTTGTCGGTGGAGCGGCTGAATAATTCAAGCAACCACGACACGGTCCATCAGCCGCACACACCAACAACGGGCTACGTGCGGCGTTCATGAATTGCAGATACCGTCTATCGGGCGCATACATTGGCCGCAATATGCAGCTATGCGGTTTCTTTCCTGGTGGGAGTTTGCACACCTCGTTGCGGCCATTAAATCCGCTTTGCGGCGGACGAGCCGAGCGAGATCCGGCGAGCGTGTTGCCCTCGGTGCGCGTAAAGATTGAAGGGTGCGATTCCAGCTCTCGTCGGGCCTCCCAGAGGACGCCCAACCTCGTGCTCGACGTTTATGGCGGTTTTGAGCCTTCGCGGAAGTGTGGGCTTAAGTTTTTTCTTCTTCCTTTTCCTTTTTATCCGGCCGAGACTACCCGAAGTAAGGGCTCGGTGGATGGCCGATAACGACACGCGCAGTAAACGTTTGGCTGTGTTAACTTGGAATCCAGTTTGAGGCACAACAAAAATTAACAGGCTTATTGGAATGTTTCTGTAATGTAGACGTTTGTGCCATGTTGAGTTTCGTTTGTGCCATTTTTTTTTTCTTTTTAACAAAACCCAGAGCTGTTAAAACGAAATAAAGAAATTCCGAAAATTACCACTTTAACGTTTTCGAGGATCTGAGAGGCTCTGAATTTTACCTAACGTCAGAAAACTCATTAGAGTCGAAAAATCCAAATTTCCACGATTTCGGGATTTGTTTATTTTTTTTAGAACTGCTCTGGTGTTTCTAAAAAATGCCAGAAACAAAACTCAACATGACACAAACGTCTACATCACGGAAACGTTCTAATAAGCCTGTTAATTTTGTTTGTACGTCAAACTGAATTCCAGGTTCACACAGCCTAAACGTTAGCGTGTACTGGAAACGCGTCTCTTCTATTTTTTAACTCTTCCTGCAAAATTGTAGTATCGAAAATACTAACAGCGTGTACAACTCCACGGACCCATTTTGCAGCTCGGAAGCATTTGGTTCAGATACTTGTAATTGAAATATTGAACAGTTTTCAAAGCATTTATTGAAAGGTCCTTTGCGCTGGCGTTTGGGAATTCTTTTCCTGTTCTAGGTGAAATTGGTGGAAGGGCAGGTATGCTGATTTGGTTGGTCCATCACCTGCGTGGACAGCCCTTGCCCTGCGCGCGTCATCTACCAAGTTCATGCAAAATTCATGAGGTGCAGATATCGCCCGTGAAGTGCACTTGTTCATGCCCTGTAGGAGCCATCTACAAAGTTCATACAACGCCCAGAAACAGGAAAATTTACCTATACAGTTCATATTGAAATTGGCCATCATCTGCAGATACTGCTCGCAATCTGCTCGCGTCGTTTAAGGTGAAGTGAAACACATTGAGGAACTTGATCGACGTCGATAAAGAAGATTTTTCTAAATGCGTACTTTGCCGACGTTCGTTTTTATATTGACAGCTGTGTCGAATTATATTGGATATTGTACCAAATGGCATACTTCACCTGTCGTTTTCGTACAATAAATATCAAGGGATCGAAGTAAAATTCCAGAAATCCTCTGGATTCATGCTTTCTGGGGCCCTAATTGACTGCAGAGAGACACTCTGCGCCATCTGTGATTTCCAGATCAATTAAATTTTCACTCCGGGACCTCGTATTCCCATCGTTTTAACATAGAAGCGCATACAACACTTTTTTTGCCTTTATCCCGTTCAAATACGAGTTTAGCGACTACCAGAATGTTCTAAATTGTCGTAAAATTGTCCTGACCCTTTCCTTTCTCATATCAGAGCCTTCGATAATTGTATATTGATCGAAATATAATAACTCGACGCCATTTTGGTTCTGGTGTGGGCTAAATTAAAAAATGTTATCCAAAAATCTAAATTTTGAATGTGTCAGGACAATTCTTAGATGATTAGGAGTGATGTGTCGAAGTTTCGGACAGTTTGGTCTAATACCCTTAAAAAAAAGTGTTGTATTAGAATCGACTGATTTGAAGGGGGTTTCACTTCACCTTAAGTCCTCACCAGCAAAGTAATCTACATACATGATCCAGAGGTACAAATACCGTCCATTACCTGCAGACACTTTTATGTTCTGCAAACATCATCTAAAAGTTCGCATCACCTATGGACTTCGAGAACTGCCTATAAACCGCAGGTAGATACGCAGAGGTACTATTCGCGTTCTACACACATCTGCAATGAACCCACCCATAAAATGGGTATATCGCCTAGACTCTGCAGCTGCACGCTTTTCCCCGACTGTTCCCTCCACGAGGTCTCTCGTCCACTGAACACGAAAGCCTTTTAACACCTTAGAAGTTCACCGAGACCAGGTGGAGCGCGTTCTCCCCCGCGCAGGTAAATCTCAATAAGTGCGATCCCAGGTCACGTTGTATCCTAAAAAGGATGCTCCGCATCGCCAGGACGTCTTTAAAGGGAAAAGTGTCTTCCCCTCTTGCAACCTACACCTTATTGATGATCCGAAAGAGGTCGCCAGGTGGAGAACCGGCGACCTCCGCGGTAGGCTTGCGATTGGCAGGTCGGAATTCCAGGGGAACGCGATTTCTCGGGCCGATGACTCACCTGGATGACGGAGCTCGTACTTGTTCCGGTCCAGGTTCTTCTCGCGGCACACCTCGTCCAGGATCTCGCCCAGGTTCGTCTTCGGCGAGACTCGCGACACGTAGAGCTGGTTTCTCGGCAGATGCACCTGCGGACATTTGGCGGCCTTATAGGTATCATATTTATATACGCCCGCGAATCGCGGGAGGGTTCGGGGAACCGGACGAGCGGTCTCTAATGAAATCGCACCTGTAACCTGAAGGTCGTTTCGAACGGTTGATTTGCCTGCCTCGCCTTGCGAGGCACGAAGGTCCCCTGTTTCGGTAGAAGTTTCACCTGAAATCATTCGTCCTTGTAATCGTCGTAACATTCTTCATACCGTTTTACGCGCGCCCCAAGGTTGTCTCTTCATTTATGATTCTCTTTAATTATCTTCAATTACGTTGCCGTCAATGCAGTTTCCTCTCTTCATCGGACGTAGTCAGAGATACCCTCCGAAAGTGGAAGTATACATTTCTTTAAAAAAAATTCCTTTCAGCGATGAAACTCAATTTCCTTACGGAATGTTTCTCGATTTGAGCCAGATCTGTGCATCGAGTGACGAATCAAACGAGAAACTGCAATGTCGGTAACCTCGGCCGATAGAACGACGCTACCGTGGAGCCATCTGCCGGCGAATCGTCGAAGATGCGTAGGACGGATCGCAACGCGTGTCGGTAATAATTGGAAAATACCTGGAGTGCGTCGAGAGCACCTATCGGAGTGTTGGGCTGATGAGGTAGAACCAGGCCGCGTTCGCCGACCGCCTGAAGAGTGTAGCTCGAAGCTGCCAATTTGTGAGCGGTAGCGATCTGCACGAGGAGATCCATCATCGGCGTGCTGCGAACAAGAATCCAGGAAACGTCAGGCTGATGCTTAACGAAGGGGGCAATGGAGCCGGGCCGCGACGTCGCGCATCGCGGCCATCTTGACGAGGAAGAGACTCCTACGGCTCGGCTTCTCTTAATTTCTCACACATTTGCTCTTATTTCCTCTAATCGAACGTTCCTATCGCTTCCCGGAGATAAATCCTGCCGTCTCCCTGGAATTATCATCCGTGAGACGGCGGTTACCCATGTAGCACTATTAATTGGTACAGTATTGGTAAACTGAGGTTCATTTACCGGCTATATATTCCGAGGATTGCCGCAACATTGTAATGTGAACTCTAAGATGGCATAATATTGTCAATCGTAAAATATAAGAGCCATACATATCCAATATTGCAGACGTATCATAAAAAATATCGTTTCCCTAATCGCATTTGTCTTATAGTGTACTAATATTTTAGATTGAATATTTATTGCGACTGGAAATATTATATCGGTTCAAGGTTGATTAGTAATTGAGAATGTTAGGCCAATATTATTCAAAGCTGTTACCAATCTTGACGAGATTCCCTAGGTGTTCGATACTAGTCACTTGGAGCATCGTTATTTTTATTCTTTGTTTGAATTTTTTCATCGCTTTAAACGTCAATAATTAACTGAGAAAATAACGCGTTAACATTAATGACAACGTTTGCGCAAATTGTTTATATACTGACATACGATAAATACAAATAGTAGTGGGGTGTACAAATAAAATGTACACAAAGCTCATACAGGAACGAGTCATATTCAAACGCCTATTTCTTGGCACTACATTGACAAGCTACGAAGTCTAACCTAAAATTACCTCGGCTACTCGAGAAGCGATTCATACACGCGGCTGTAATTCCCAAAAACTCGAATGCCGTAATAAAACGTGCAATCTAGCCCAGAGCGGTGAAAAAGTGAGTAAAAAAGAAAATCTCCGTAAATCCTAGACTTTAAAGAGTCAAGGATCGAGTAGATCCCGTTCGTATCGACGAATCGGCCGCTCCAGATCTTGCCGTCGTCGGCTCACGCATCGGCCGATAAAAAAGGGATCTCTTTTGACCGAGGAATGCCGCCGCGAAGGCTCCCCGTGTAGCGCGGAAGAGAAGGACGCGACGAGGCGGCCGCGAGGGAACAGAGAGAGAGGGAGAGAGCGGCCAGGAGAGGAATAGAGAAGAACCTCGGGAACATCGGAGTGCAATCGCCGAGGCCTTCGGGCGAGTTTCTACCGCGGTTATGGCTACCGATTACGGTAACCTTTTTCCGAATTTTCTTCCGAACCTGGGCAGTTATTATTCCGTTTTGTTTTCACCGTAGCTTTGCCTCGGCTTCGCCTTAGCCTTGCCACGGCGAGGAGCCTCCTGGGACTGCGAGCAACGAGTCATTTCCAAGATTACTGGCACGAATCGGTAACGACCTGGGGACCGTTTCTTACATTAGAAGACATTTTTAACTCGCCCCGACACAAGAATAAATAATAAGATTAAAATCTGCTAAACAGTTGACTTTACTCGGGAGGCTTCTTTATGGATTTAAGGTGAAATGAAATGGTCATTCTATATATAAAAATATATAAATACTTATAAAACTCTTCTCTAAACTGAGTGCACCGAATCATTTGAAATTTCAGCACGTGACTATGAAGGCCCTAAAGAAGAACGCAATGCTCGTGATGTTTCATATTTCAAAGAAGAAAATTCTTTATTTATCCTAGACTAGAACCAAGATCACATTTTTTTTTTTTTTTCGTGAAAAATGAAACTTCACGAGCATCGCGTTCTTCCTTAGGACCTCCATAATCACGTGCTGAAGCTTCAAATAATTCGGTACATTCAGTTTGGAGAAATGTTTTATAAATATTTTGAAGGTTTATATATAGAAAATGTCCCTTTCATATCACGTTAATTCCCCCTCATGTTCTATCGCCAATTAATTTTGTTTTTAAGCACGTTATGTACAAGTGTGATACGCGTGTTTTAAGAAATTTCAGGGTACTCGTTTAATCCTTTGAACACGGACCCATTTCGACATATGGGCGAAATTCGTCTGACCGGGCAGGCAATATTGGACCGAACGTCGGGCGCCTTTAGGCGCTCTTAGTGGCCAAAGGGTTAAAGCGTTGTTCGATCGATATCGAACGTTGAGGCGGTTTAAGGGGGAAGAAAAAAATGTCAGATGAAATCACCTTCGCTGGTCGGTAACCCCCACGTGTACAGGTGATGGTCGTGTGATACCTGGACCAGAAATTCCATACCTGGGACTTATTGGAGGTAAGAAGCGACACGGGATATGAGGACTCGTCCTGTGCTCGAGTTTACAAGGCAAACTTGTTAACTGATTTGTGCCCATAATTATGAAAGTGGTCTAAGTCATATATTTTTTGTTTCGAAATTACATTGAATTAATTTCGTTTGAAATAATATGGCGTGAAATAACTGATAAACTCATTTTTTTTTTTAATTTTGACTTAGACCACTTTCATAATTATGGGCACATTTGTTTCACCTCGACAGTTTAACACATTCGCGAGCGGCAAATTTTTTCCGTTTCAAATACTGAGTACCAGCGAAAATAATGAAATTCGGAAACTAGTCGCCTCAAACTTGCATCGTGTATCGTCATGGACGTGAGTCACGTCAGCGGCAATCAGAAATAGAATTTAAAATGACGTGAATTCACGTCAGCGGCAACCAGGAATAGAACTTGAAAAGACGTGAATTCACGTCAGCGGTCGCGAATGTGTTAAGATACAGGAGGAAAATTCGTTTTCGACAAATTGGACGAATTTATCATCTCATTGTATGTCACAAATTATGGGATGCGTTTATTACACGGAATTTTGGAGTACTCGGTTAAAGCAGTTTGACCGCCGAGATGGTTTAAAAGGAAAAAAAAAAAAGATGTCAGGTGAAATTACCTGCGGTGGACAGTGACCCTCTGCGTGCGCAGGTGATCTCATGGTAGGTGGATCCAGCATTCCATACTTGGGAGTTATCGAGAATATGGACCGATTATGTATCTCGTTATATTGGAGAAACTCGTTTAAGGATCCATTTCTCCTAGAATTTGTAGCATATGTAGAGAATTCATGATCGGACGCTATATGGATCCCTAATGTACTCGTTGGACCGGTACATTGAACATGAAGGTGGTTTAAAAAGAATTAAAAAATCCGGGTGAAATTATCCGCACTGGACAATGACCCTGTGCGCGTGCAGATGATTTCAAGGTTGCTGAATCAAAAATTTCCGGCTTGGGTCTTATCGGGAATAAGGATCAATTGTCTGTTTAATTTCATGGGTAAAACCCGTTGACAGATACTTTTCACACACATTTACGAAGATTTAACAGATATACGTCGGATGCATGATGTACGGAGGACATACGGAGATCTTGTGTATTTATTTAAATCGGTATATTTAACGTCGACCCAGTTTAAAGGAAAATAAATAGATTGAAATCATCTACACTGGACTATAACCATATGTGCGTGCAGATGATCTCAATGATGCGGAATGACAAATGTCCTACTTAGGTCTTATCTGTTTAATTTTACAGGAAAGACTTGACGATGAATTTTTATTCCTGAGATTGACTAGTGTGTACCATAAAAATGTCAGACACAAGATATACGGGGACCTGGTGTACTTGTTTAAAGCGGTATATTTAACGTCGGTATACTTAAAATGAAAGTAAATATCGGGATGGAATTATCCGTACTGCTCGATGAAAAACCTATTTAAGTTTTATCTCATTAATTTTGCAGAAGAAACTTGCCAATGGATCTTTATTTCTCGTATTTATGATAGTTTACTATAAAAACGTGGGACGTTTAATAATATATCGACATTTTATGTACTTATTTAAAGCAGTATATTAAAACATCGACATTGTTTAAATGAAAATCAATATCGGAATGAAATTATCTGCGCTGAACGATCAACGCGCGGTATGCAAGTGGTGTCATGAAATCGGCACCAGATTTTTCATTTCTCAGTCTTATTAGGAATAAGGACCTATTATCCGTTGGATTTTACAGGAGACCCATTGATGGATCCATTTTCTTCAAATTGAAGGGAAATTAAATATGGACGAGATGTACGCGCGGTATATGGAACTCTAGTGTATTTGTTATTTAAGTGTACTCACTTAAAACGGTATACTTAATGTCGAGGCGGCTTAAAAAGAAAAAGAAAAATATATCAGGTGGAATTACCTGCGCTGGACAGTGACCCTCTGCGTGTGCAGGTGATGGTCTCGTGGTAGCTGGACCAGAAGCTCCATACTTCCGGTTAGCATGTCCGCCGGTGTGTCCTCGGTTACTGTCAGGACCATCCTGGACGACCTGTCCTCCCTGGACCTGTAGATGGAAAACCGGAAAGACTCGTATGAAAATCTCAACGTGATAATCGCAAACAAGGCGAGGCACGATCATTATTCTTTCTACCGCAATTGCATCGCGTCAGCTTTTAAAATGGACGAGACGGTACTTGCGATGACGACTTCCCTTTAGCAACAGGAAATTCTGATTGTCCCCATTACGCCGGCCGCTTTTCTCGCATTATCATTGACAGTTGAATTGAAAGGGGAAAAAAAAAAGAAAAACAATTGTACAAGAAAATACATAGCGGAACGGGAAAATATTCGCAATTTACGTCATTTCGAATTCCACACGCGCTAAAGAAAATGTGCTGAAAAAGGAGTGGAATGCGGAAAACATGCAATGCGGAAACTGATGAAGATTTCTGGCAATGCTAGAAAAATCTGTAATCTTCTTGCCTGGTCTTTTAGATTTAAAAAGTGACCTAATTAACAGCTCAGGGGTAAATGGGTCATTTGGTACATTCGGGATGAGTTGACTTAACAATGTCACGTTGGAACCCATTTCATGGGATGACTCGATGGCGATTGACCGCCAGTTCCGAACAAGGTCTGCTTAGGTACTTTTTGCAATAGGCATTTCGTGAGATTCCGCGAATCATCGCAATGACTTATCGGGTGCACGACTATTGAACTCGGTGACTCTCGTCCTGGAGACGCAAAACTGGGACGTGCAAATCGTGACTCGGCGAGTACGAAAGATCGTTTCCGTTTGCGTTTTTACTTCTTGGAGGTCACGTCCATTTCTTTTTATCTCTTCTTTACGAGCACCCAGATAAAAAGAGCTTTTCCTTCTGGTGCTCGCGAAAGGTCGAGGTGGAGATTTTAATGCTCGGGATGTCATTTGCGAAATCCTCGATCTAGTAACGAGAGATCGCGAAAAATTCAATTTTTATTCAAACGCCGTTTTAAATGCAAGACACCCGGGCGTCAATATGTGTAAAAAATGTAATCTTATTAAACATCCTGACATTCTTCCTCTCGAAGGAATAAACAAAAGAAAACTAATTACAAGATAAAAATCGAGGAAGAAATGTGAATTTTTCTTTTTGAAAAAAGAAAAAAAAACTGGGAATTGAATTCGGTCCAATTTAGTAATTATTTCCTATTACGTCAGGTGGTAATTTTCATCCTTCTTACAAGGCGCGTGGAAACATCCCCAGCTGAATGAAAAACCAAACGAACATCAACTTGGCATTAATGAGACATTATTATGCGGTGAAAAAGTATGTACAAGTGTTCGAAGAATACCATTTCAACACGAGTTCTGCGTCGATTAACTCGCATTCCATTACTGAACAATACTTGTCGCGTAAATTCTAAGGAGTCCAGTGGTAATTATGTTAATCGACGTTGGCAATGGGCATGACTAATACCTACGCCTCTACCGTCTCTAATTAGACGGTACACCGGCCATTAATCGAAAGCAGGATCGAAATCTTCATTAATCCGTAATTTAATCTCTACCAAAACTAAATTTCTATCACTCATTGATTACATTAACAAACTGCGACCGATGGTCCCCAAGAATTTTAAAGAAATCTGCTTAATATCCCTGCAAGGCATGCATTTTCGAAAATGTTCAATTGAAATTTCGTCACGCGGCAATTTCCTGTGTGTGTCAATTTATGCTGCCAGTTTAGCAAGCAGTTATTTCATACAGTGAAAATATATGTACGAATTGATGTCACTTGATATTCGCAAGACACATCTCGGATCGTTCTTGACCTAAACCAGAATTGATTACCTGCAAGTGCGACAAGCATATCAATTAACAAAACCCGGTTAATAGCGATCGACAATGGTCGCGACCCTGAAAATATTACGCGTACATACATTTCGTACCGAGCCTTACAAAGAGGTGTTACCTAGATTTTCAACGCTATAAAAATTGCTCACATTCACATTTTACACATACTAAATCCACTTCCAACGTAATTTTCTTATAGTACCGTTGCCTACAACGTAGAAAAAAATTACCATAATTTTTATCGCGTTATAAAAAGAAGAAAAAAAAAACGTGATAACAGAATCTTCTTACTTTCCTGCCGGGTTAAAAGAAATCGCGTTGTATGAAAATCGCATGTTTTACCCCGCTATAGTAAACCGCGTAAATCGCCAGGGTCGTCGCAATTGTTCTCCTGCGTTACAAGAAACCCCGTTGTAAAATCATCCACCATAGACTTCCGTTGTTATATAAAATGAATGAACAACCAGTTATATCGGTAACGAGAGTTGATATTTATCCTTCGCAGAAAATGATTCGCCGCGTGAAATGTAATTTTTCACGTTAACGCTTTTCTGCTCGCTAAATCGGCGCGATTTTCACGCAAAGGCGTGTCTAAGTAACCGCTATTGACATTGTTATGTTACATCGTGATTAAGTACGTCGTTCCAGAAGTGTGCGCGACGCTAGAAGCGGCGTAGCGCAATTAGCTCGGACTTACGATTCAATGCGCAATCCTGATAAGTACATCATCGGGAGCGTAAATGAATTTACTCAGGGAGTAACGATTCGCTGCGAGACGTAACTACCCGAGTTAATGCGCTTTTGCTTGTTAAGTCATCGACCGGTCGACAATTTGGGCTTATCAAAGCAGTGGCATTCGCGTTAAATGTTCATGAAATATATCTGTACCGTCGAGGTAAACGGCCTTAAGGTGATGTGAAAGTGAGTCCTCGTTCATGAAACTTTTCTCCAAACTGGGTGTATCGAATCGATTCAAGCTTTACGATATAAATATGGAGGGCATAAGGAAGGTCCGGAAACTCAATAAATTCATTTTTCTTTAATTTGTTCATAGATATTATATTAATTTGTTATAAAAAATGCAATTTCATGAGTCTCAGGACCTGCCTATTCACGTGATAAACTTTCAAACAATTCTATACGCCCAGTCCAGAGAAAAAATTGATGAACTAGTGCCCCCTTAAATATCACTTTTATGTCACCTTAACTTTAGTTTCTATCAATGTGAAGGTATCATTATTTTTTGTCCGACTTTGATTTCATCTTGAGGTAAACGTTTCCTGAAAGTTATTAAAAATTGACTTACTGCCCTTCATCTCTACGGTACAGATGCGCATATTTTTTGGGAGAGGATGCTCCGTGTACTTGAGAACAATGATTGGGTATTACGAAATACGAACTGTAATTGGATAAGCAGAATTTACCCGTGTCGAGTACAGAGATTTACGCGAAACGTAATTTCGTTGCACCAACTAACGCGTCAGGTAATTAACCCGTCACATCACAATAGTTTAACAGCGTAAATAATAAATAAAAAGGTGTTAAGATGATAGACAACGAGAAAGAGTAAAAGTATCTCATTTTATTGATCCACGATTTTTTTGTTTTTTAATCGATTATAAGAATTAACAGGCTTTTCCACGAAACTTGTTTTATGGATCCGAAAGTGACTGACTTAATCGCCCTCACTTAAATCGTAATTGGATAAATGCAACCTCAAAGGAATTACAAAGAAACCCACTAGACAAGCCGCAATTAAGTCTTTAATATCGAGATAGCTTTTTACGGGCATTTTAAAGCGTATCTTCGAACGATTTTACTTTCCGGTGATAAAAAAGACCGTTTCGCGTCCAAAATTACTATATCACTTGCGTTAAGTCAGCCCTCGGAACAAACGGCAGCATAATTGCCGACACCTTTGCAATTTCATAAATATGGACGCTTAATTGCCTCGTCAAGCTTTCCGACGGAGGTGCGGTAATCTCGTACGTGATTGCATCCTCAACAAGTGCAAACCAACGGGAGATATGTTTCGCTGCAAGTGTAGCAAGACGACATTCTCGACAAATCGCGCAATCACGCACGGCGACTCGATAAAATGCATCTGAAATATTGCCGGATAATTTACAATCTCGCGTCTCCCGGCGACGCAATTGGCTCGTCTTCGAGGAATAACCTAATGGCTCGGTGCAATTGAATAAATCGAATAAACCGAATAATTGCATCCTAAATGCAGCTTAAACGCAGCTTAAACCGCGAGGCTAGATTGGAGGATAAAGAAACAAAAAATGGCCCTCGCGGTACACGTTTCTCTTTTTTTTTTCTTTTTCTCTTCCACTCATTTCCTTCGCGTGCCTCCCGCCTTCTGCTCCTTCTTTTCTTTTCCTTTCTGGTGTGCTCGTTACGTAATTATTACGGCAAACTTGCGCGAGTACACGCATCGCGGAATCGCGCCACGCAATTCGACGCGCAACAGAGTAACGAGAGCTTTTTTTAACGCGGGTTAGGATAAACGAATGATAAAGTCGCGTCTCGTTTTTCATTACTACGTTTATGTGGTAAGAAAAGAAGAAAAAAATACTACCGTCGTCCAAGCGTGGCTTATAACGTGTAATTATTTTTCTAATACGCCTATATGCAACAATGAGAGAATGACGCTAAATACATTTGTTATGAAAAGACCTACCGAATGGACATTTTCATATTTAATAAAGAATCTTGGAGGAAGGGGTACAAATTTTGGTATTTTCATTTCAGGTGATATTAATTTCAATCCTCGTTTTGCAGCCAAGCATTTTTCTCCGGGCTTTAAAGTAAATCACTCCAGGTAAATGAAACACGGAATAAGTGTAGTAACTTTTCATACAGTGGTTCCTTATGATGCATAATCTGTCCTTCGCATAAGATAAAATGTATAATAAATTATATGAAATTATTTTATAGAAAATGTTAAACAGCTTTTCCAGCAGTGCTACAAGACAGCACATGTACCACGAGGGTAATTCATCGCGTAATTCGAGAATTACTTTAATCTTCTTATAGGTAAACGCGCTATGCGGAGTTGCATAGAGATCTGCAGCGAAGAATTGCATCGGATGGACAATCAGGATGCATTCGAAACGCAGACGTCACGTCGATAAGCAACTTTCCCATCGGATGGACTCGTTATAAATGGTGTTTGGAATCGCTGGCTCGAGTGTTTCGAGCACTTTACAAAGGAGTTTCATTTT